GGGAGAAATGAACATCATGTTAGGAAAAAAGAGTAAAACCAGTGTCCTAATTATTACCAACTCACTATAATATATAATCATTTTTGAATGAAATGACACCTCCTGTGTTACCATTCAACTGAGGTACTCAGTTGGTGCCTCATGAACATTATCTGAAGTGAAGACAATGAAGTATCACAGATCAAGCACAAATCGTCCTCCTCCTTCTTCTTTTTCCTACATGCAGTTCTGTATTTCTGAGCAGATATTAATGTACTGTAATATCTTACTCTGGGGTCATAGTTTTGTCAGTGTCTGCTGGAATTCCCTTGAGACATGGAGAAGAAGGGACAATGACTATACTTAATTAGTAATGAGTACTATTGCTTGCAATAGCACTTTGTTTGAAAAATACCAAAAGGAAACATGCTTACCATATCTCAGTAGACACGGCTGCACTGCTATGAACCTTTGGAAATAAGACATGAATAGAAAATGAGGGAGTGAGAGTTCATATGCACAGAAGAAGAAAACAAAACACAGAGGGAAAAAAATGAAAATGCATCTGTTGGGGTCATTTTGCCCACCCCTTTCCTTAATACAGGATCTATCTTGAAAAGTTTTATTATAACAATTGCTGAAATTCTAGATTGACAACATCCTGGAAGTATGTTGGGTGAGATGGGCATCATGCAAATTTAACAAACAAACAAACAAACAAAGTATAGCAAGATAGAGTCAATAGGGAATGGGGCTCAGGAATGGGGATTCAGCCTGTTATGGTGGATTTATGCTCCCGCAAAGAGCAGGTGAGCATTTTCAGAGTGCTCCTTGATATTCTGCTATCTCTTATTCTCCAGATCCTGCAGCAACTGGGAGAATATTTGTGGTACCACACCTGGCATGCCAGCTATGACCACTCCAATGGCAGACTGAATAGGCCATGTTTGTGACTTCCCTAGCTGTCCTCACTTACCTTACCTTAATTCTTGACACTCTGAAAGATACAGTGTGCTTAAAACTTTGTGAACTCATTTGAATTTTCAATATTTCTGCATAAATATGACCTAAAAATTATGTGTTCTCCACACAAGTCCTAAAACTAGATAAAGAGAACCCAATGG